TGAGTGCATCCATCTTTATGGTTTGTCTGCTAAGTTCATAGGCAATGAGATTTCCAATTAGCTCATCCAACTTAAGAGTGGAAATGTTATTTGATTCCTGAATAGCAGTGATTTTGCTTTCCCAAGAGACTGGCAGAACCCTTGTAAAAATCTTCTCAATTTTGTCTTCTTCAAGAATAACCCTTCTAAGAGACTTAAGTTCATTTGTCAGTGTGGCAAACCTTGTATACATCTCCTGGATGGTTTCCCTTTCCTTGATGGTGAAATTCTCATGTTGGGAATACAACAGTGTTCTTCTAGACCTCTTCACTTGAGGTGTTCCTTCATGAGCCACTTGCAAAGTGTCCCAAATTTCCTTATTAGTGGTACAACTTTGAATTCTGCTGTACTCGTCTGGACCAAGTCCACACACAAGCCATATCTTGGCCTTAGAATTCTTCTCCTATTTCCTAAAGTCCTCGGCATTGCAGTTAGCTCTCATTTTTTGCACATCTACTCTTTCAGCATTCTTCTTCATGGTAGTCAGGGGACCATCTGTGACAATGTCTCATAGCTCTAGTCTTCTCCAATAATATGATCTCTCATCCTGTTTTTCCACCACGAGTAGTACTGGCCATTAAAGAGTGGAGGCCTAACAGTGGATTGCCCTTCCCAATTTCTAGGTGGTGTGCTCATCTTGATCTGTTCCTAAGGTGTTAGCCTCTTTAAGGATAATCTGCTTTGATACCAATTGATGTTTTAACTTCAATACCACACAAGAGGGGGGTGATTTGTGTTGTGTCCAATTTTTCGCTTAAACTGATTATAGAAGGACCTGGTTCTTCTATATGTTCCTTAACCTACTATTGTAGAAATAGTAAATGCAGAAAGTGAAGAACACAAGTATTTTACGTGGAAAACACCTGGATCAAAAGGTGAAAAAACCACGATCTACTTCCTAGTAGGATTTTTCCAAATTCTTCACTAAATCACTGAGCCAAAAACTGCATTTACAAAACAGTTTTGTAAACCTAAGATTAATTCTAATCCAGTTGTAGCAAGCAGCCTCTAACTGTTGCGACAACCTCAAGTTAACTCTAACTTGAATACTCCGAGTACCTATTATAATTGCCTCTAGATAAAGCTGAAAGGTATAATATGAAAATACCTACTACAATTGAACTAGAATAAAAGACAGATACTTGAAACTGGTTCTTCTATCTGGTTCATGTCTTCAAGTTTGCACACTTGAATCACACACGAATTGCTTGCAAAATTCCTTGCTATTTTGCACTCAATTCACTTTTAACTTCTGCATTTGTGCATTACCTGTAAGTGAGAACATCCTGCAATTTATAGAGTTAGTAGATGAAGAGAATAACTAGAGTTCTAATGCTACTCTTCCTTGGTGGAAGAGTTCTAGTTGATCTCAACTTCTAAATCCTTCCCTATCTTGGACAGTGTTCTCTTTGAGTAAGGAGTCCTTCTACTTATCAATTATGCAACCTTTTCGATCAGAAGATATTAAATATATCAAGTTAAGCTTATCTCCTTCACGTGCATCCCACATGCTCGAATCTGCCTATTTCTTTGCACCACAAGGGATGGACCTGGTTCATGCCTAAGCTTTTTTTTGTCAATCTTAAAACTAACCTTCACTTGGGCCAACAACTAAAGATAATAATGATCTAGCTAACAAAAATAAGCAAATAATATTATAGATAACTTGTCTCTGGATCTAGAGGGGCCGGATAAAAAACCTTAAAAATTGAACTCATAAATTTTAAATTTTGGATCCGCGTCTACTCATATTTCAATATTGTGTTTGAAGTGATACTCCAAAATGTTTGTCTATTGTTTTCATAATATGAATGTCTGATTTGTTTTAGGGAAATTGTTCGAGTTTGTCTATTATTCGAAATTACTCAATTTTATCCCACTTTAGACTTTTTGATTCGTTTATATCCTTTTAGTATTTACCCCTCAACTTTTGATTGTGAGACTCTTTTTTATGAAAGGGTAAAATTATTAAAGTTTAATGGATATGCATGGTAAAGTTGTTATTTTCAAATGGCACAAAGACATACTTTCCCTTGGTTTTAAGATATTAGCTGTGATATTTTTGACATTTTAGACAAAATTAACAATTTTTGTTTTGAACCTTGTGAGCTAATTAGTAACTTTTGAAAATATTAGTATGTTTTATCTTAAAAAGATGTTTTTAGAGAGAGAAAAAAACAATAAAAGAGCAAAAGAGAATCGATTCCTTACTCCATGATTTTCTAAGAATAATTTACAAATAGAAATGATTAAATAATTTCCTATATTCCCATGTGTGATAGTAACACTCTCCCTTTTTTCATAAAAGGTATGCAATAGTGGAACTTAAAGCATCGCATTTTGAGTGAAAAAAAAAGAATTCTAGGACCACCCAAATGTTAGCCATGATTGCTCTCTCTATGACAAGGAAGCAGGGTGGACGTAGTCTTTGGTATCGGGTTTATCTGGACTCGGTATTTTTTATACTGAATATAAGTTTATGTATACAGCGGCGAATTTAAGGTATAAATTTTATGGGTTCAATCTTTAAGTTTTGTTAGCATTAACCCATTGCATGTTTAAAATTATGGGTTCAGACCTACTAATTGTTTGAATCTTAATCAATTTTTATAGTATATAAGTATATGCTCCTCGTTGAAAGCAGTGGCAACAATCCGCACCTGTGTGCTACATTGTGGCACCCTATGCGAATCCCACATCGACAAAATACGGGAGAGATGTTGGATATATAAGTAGACATGCCTTAGACTATAGTGACGCATTTTAAACCCATGAGGGTCTTGGCCCAGAGCGGACAATATCACTAGCGGACTGAACTGTTATATATGGTATCAGAGTCACTCTGCGTGCAACCTTGAACGATGGTGGGACAAACCTCAACGAGGACGTTGAGTCCTTAAGGGGGGTGTATGTGACACCATAGGTGAATGCCACATCAACAAAACACGGGAGAGATGCTAGGTATAAGTAGACAGGTCTTAGACTCTAATAACGCATTTAAACTCATGAGGACTTAGACCCAGAGCGGGCAATATCACCAGCGGGCTGGAATCGTGACCTACATCCTCCTTTGTATGTATAAAATCTCCCTAAAGTGCAATAAATATTACTATACGATAAACTCAGAAGGTTGAACTTATGAAGTTTATATTTTGGTTTCGCTTTTTAAAGAAAGTGGTACGCTATCAACTCATTCCAAAAATTATGAATCACATGTTAAGGTCAACTCAGTCATTATACAAAGAATAAATGCATATGGAAACCTAGTGGAAGTATAATATCATGTACCAAAAGTGGAAGTATATATCCATTTTTCAGCCAATTACATGTCGCAATTTGTTTGGGTTTCCAAAATAGAGTATATCATAATTTAAGTATCTGAGTCTTCCATTTATCAGTGCTTGTCAAATATTATCATTAGCTTGATCTTATCTGAGTATTCCATAATTATTTAAATTTCATTTTGAGATGAAAGGAAAAATATTAAAGGGTAATATAATGAGGAGCTTAGAATTTAACTATTAATGTAATATTTAAGTCTATAAAAATTAGGAGCTGTATAAGAGTGATCTCAAGATTCAACATTTAAGACGTGTTTTAATTAAAGTCTAAGAAAATGGAACCATGAAGCACGAAAACTTTGAGGTGTCCCAAAGGTCGGACCAAAGCGTACAATACCTTGACAGCTGGTTTCATATCGTGACAAAATTGTACCCATATTTTAAAAAGAATATATTTGTTTCTAAGCCAATTTAAAAAAAAAAAACGAAACGACAAAAAAGAAGAATTCTCAAGTTCTACAATTGGAATGGTATTCTTCTTTTGTGTTATTGAAAAATATCTGCTTCGTTCAATCAACTTTTATTTTGAGAGTTAATAATTGACTAATTTCTTAAAGGAAATTAAAGTTGCTTGTTTTAATATAAATGATCTAGAGAGAGCACTTATGTAATTTATCTGTCCTAAAATATTTTCGACTTTAGATTTTCTGAAACCAACTCTTTAAAGTTTGAAAAGGTTTTTGCAAAATATTAAGATTATATTTTAAAAAGTTCTTATTTGTAGTAAATTTGGCATATATTGTAATCTCTAACTATTATTTTCAAATGATAATTATTTCTTCGTCTGGATTAGTTAAATTGTTGATCAATTTCTTTTTTAGTTGAGATTGAAATTGACTTATGTTTTCCTTAATTAAGTAATAAAGGAAATTAATAGATATGTCACATCATATACCAATCAAGTTGGCCACTGTACTAGAGGAAACACGCCACTAACGATCGTTTGGTAGGATGTATAGTAATAATAATAATACTGAATATGATATATTAATAATGTTGAGATTAATAATATTAGGATTAGTTATATTGAGATTATTTTTTATCGGCTGTTTGATTTGGTATATATATTAAAAATAAAATGTATTGCATAATTTTTTTAAAAATTATTTGTTTACAAAAATACTGACGATTTGGAAAAGGATTTGAAAAAAGTTTTAAAATGATAGTTCTATCTTATAAATGCTTATCCATGTATTGAAAATTATGGTATTGCTAATGTCATGAATTGCTATGTATAAGAATAGTACTTCAATACAGTGTATAACTATTACGGATATTAGTTATACATAAAGCTGAAAAATATTACCTAACAAGAGATTAATAACATCAAAGCGAATACATATATTATTTTCCCTAATACACCATCCCAAACGACCCCTAAGGTAGCAATGAGATTGATAAGGATATCCACCCACCATTAATTAGAAGTCTAGCGTTTGTATTATAAGAATGTAGAAAATCCTGATAGGGAATATTTCTTTCTTTAATGAACCTTATGCATCCCAAATTCGAATTATTTGATAACAATATGAGTACCGAACACCGAATAAAAAAAATGTACCACAAACATTAACCCCAAAATAAAATGAAAATGAAAAATGAATTTTTTTTTCAATTTCATGACCCCAAATTCATGCAATTTTATTCATTATCTCAACAAACTTCAATACAAAACTTTGTCCCAATAATTATAAAAAAGAAAAAAAAAAAAAAAAAAAAATAGTCTAACTAGTTCCTTCATTATTTACTTCCAATCCAAAAGACAAAATTATGACCTGAACTCTCCCAACAGAACTGATAAACTACCAAAGATTTTGATAACATGCTCATTCCAGTCTCCCTTCCCTTCCCCTATACAATACTAGAAAAGTTTCTTCTTTTTTTTAACCAAAAAAAAAAAAAAAAAAAGAGAGTGCTCATAATCCTTACTATATATAACAAAAGTCTTCATTTCATTTCTTCACCATTTTCTTTTTTCACATTAATATTGCATACCTCATACTATCACTAACCATAAGATGATTCATTTCAGAAACTTGAGAAAAATCTCCAGAAACCCAAACTCCATCTGTTCCATTAATCCGCGGATGATTTAAGCACGAAAACAAATAAATAGGTGCGCGTAAAATGCCATATATAATCGAAAAACCATGCCAATTCTGCCTTGATGATCTTCCTCCTGCAGTTTGATCAACTCTAATATTAATCATATTTTCATCTCCAACTCTTGGACTTTTTCCCATATTTTGTAAGTTTTTCCTCATTGTTACTAATATATTCCACATGATTATATAAAGAATATGAAGAGGGGTTGTGTTTTTGTTTTAGGTTTTAATGGAAACTTTTGGAGGGTTTTTGAAGAATAGAAATGTTGGCCAAGTTGATGGGAATGGTTTCTTTTTTTGATGGTGGAGTTGCTAGTGCTTGTAGTTATCATATGAATTTTTATGGGTGCTTTTCTTTTTAGGACTTTCACTTTGTGGGTTTCTTTAACTATACTATTCTTTTTATAAAGAGTACCGTTCGGTATGCGAAGTATTCCGCGTTCGCAGGGAATTCGAAAGGATCGCATTCAAAGGGGGTGTGATATAGGTAACCTACACTGATGCAAGTATCAGTGACTGATTCCACAACTTGAACACGTGATCTATAGGTGACAGAGAGACAATTTTACTTTGCTTCAAAATTCCCCTTCTACACTATTCTTTCTTTATTTAATTTTGGGTGGGGTATTGTTGATTAGCCAATTTGCCGACAAGGTTGCCTAATTATACTTTTGTTAGCAAAGATCAATGCATTGATCCATCGGACGTCTAAATTTAATTCTTTTATGGTAGAGAGTTTTCGTATCATAGGGTAGGGTGATAAGTATCCTTTCATCTTTAATCAGATATTTTAGAATCAAGCTTTGGCGATAGCTTCGCTTAAGTAGGAAGTACTTTACTATCAAGTTTTAACTTTCCGTTGGAAATCTGAATTAACCGGGCCTTATAATGGGTACCGAGCACTGAGTTGGATGTTTAATTTTTTTCCTTTTATGGTGAGAGATTTAGTTAGTGTGGAGTGATTAGTACCTTTTATCGAGAAGTTTCGAAATCAAGCTTTGAAAATAACATCGCTGATCACGCCCAACTATGCCTTATAAAAAGGATAATTCGGACGTTGCAAATATAACCTGAGTATTCTGCCCAGAGTCGAATCCACAGAGAATTAACCTATCAATCACTATCTTTAGAACTACTAAACGCTTGAGAACCAATTTCCCCAAACGTTTGAATCACAGTTGATGGTGTCTTCAATAACTAAAATTGCACGTAAATAAACAGCTATAAACTAAGGATGCTAAGGTTGTAAACAATAATGAGAAGACGCTCAGGTGATGACTTCCCCTATTGATGGAATCCCTTCTGTTTATGCTTCATACAAATTTCCCAACACACCTCTATCAATCATGAACACTTTTCTTACCGTAAATCTCTCCCGAGTAATCACAGTAATATACTATTGCACTCTCCCGAGATACACTAGCTAGCTTTAATTAACACAGTTCACTTAAGATTGCACTCAAGGCTTCGTTATCCCTAATCCCGCCTTTAAACCCGCAGTTATAGATCCCTCTTATACTTTGGGAGTGGTGTTGTTCAACAATAACCTAAATATGCACTCTCTCCCGAGTTATGCACACTAAATAGGCACAGCTAATTGAGGATCCTGTCAATTAACTACAACATACACAAAGTTGAACAAATAAAGATTGAGACTAGCAATTTGTATTCACATAAACAAGAAGTTCATCCCCAAATAGGTTCCATCAAAACCTTAGACAAAAGATTTAGCTACTCATAACTATGGGTAAATAAACTAAAACAATATTCATCATAAAACTTGCAAGAAAAATAAAGAGAAGAAGAAACCAAGATGTTTTGGGTGATCTCTCACACTTGTTCTTCTTCCAAAAATACTCTCCAAAACAATACATGCCTCTCTTGGGCGGAGTCTAGTGTTTAAAATAGGGTTTTGGGCTAATAATCCCGTATTTTGCACTTTAGTCCCTGAAATTTCCGCCTCCTGCCGCGGTTGTACCGCGGTCGCGTTCAAACCGCGGCCAAACATGGCCTCTGATTCTTCAATTGTCTGCGTCTGCACTCTGTCGCAGTTCTGCCGCGGTTGCGGTGAAACCGCGGTTTTTCATCCTGTTCTGTTTGGAATTTGGAAAAACGCAAAACATAAAAGTTGTATCCCTTTGAGTTATCTTTCCAACCACATATTATGGAGCCAAAATGGAGTTCTGAGTAAAACGTTATGTGCATTTTATTAGACAGTGCGCAATATGCCTCATCGAGTCTTCGTTTGTTCTCAACTATCAAATTTGACCCCCGAACACGATCCCGGCTTAATTCCTTAAGCTTTTACTCAGATTTCAAAGTTTCAAATCACTTAAATTCATTCCATAACATCTATATAGCTCGGAATCACACCTACAAGGCATAAAACACATAATTAGTGCAAAACACTAGCGATTAAAGCGCAAACTCAATTAAAGTACAATAAATTAGAGTGTAATAATCAACTAAAACACGTAATTATAGCCTATCATCAGTCGCCTTTAATAAAAAATACTTTATCAACAAGTTAAAGCTTTCCGCCAAAATTCAGATTAGTGGAGCCTCATAACGGTTGCCGAGCACCGAGCTGGACGTTTAAATTTAGTGCTTTTATTGTGAAAGGTTCGGTTTAAGCGTGAGCTAGGAATATATGATTGAACTATGTATAAATTGCTCAAAAATCCAAATGTTTGAAAGATTAAATTTTTTGTTTTGAATAATGACATTTCACTTTCTAGGTTATCGCTTTGCCACTATAAATTCCACATCAAAAAATAAAAGATAACATCGGATCCAAGATTTTTATGTCATGGTGTTCAATTGTCTTTAATCTCGAAACTCTACTTTGAGATTGGATGTTTTATCAATAACTTTAATTTATATGTTATTAATATCTTTCAACAGAATAATATAGTATTTAAGTAAAACACAATGGGTGCTTAAGCACCTAATTAATGGAGTGGTAACGTTTTGTTGCATTTAAATCAATAAATTCGATTATAATAATATGGCACTTTGCTAGTTAAACATAAATGTATAGATTTTAGTCATTTAGTGGGATAGATTATGTATATTTATTAATTTTAATCAATTTATGTCCAGAATACAAAACTTATATTAATCAGACTAATTCAGATTCGAGTTATAGAAAGTTTATGGAAGATTTTATCTCTCTGTATCAACAAGTTATATTCTCAGAACTCAAATATGAAATTCTTGTTTAGTGGTAGAGGGACCTTTACCATGCAGTCGCACCCGTTGGTGGTGGTGGACGTTCAAATTAAGTCTTTTAGAAAGTATTGGGGCGGTTCTTCTTCGGACCTTGCGGGATGTACGCTATGTGAATCGGGTTGTCTTTTTAGATGGACGGAGAGTGTAATATTGTTCATATCTCTTATATTGCTTTTATTGTATTATGCATTTTTATGGTACTAATATATCGGCTCCTGTTGTTTTTTTTGAGCCGAGGGTCTCCTGGAAATAGTCTCTCTACCCTTCGGGGTAGGGGTAAGGTCTGCGTACATATTACCCTCCCCAGACCCCACTTGTGGGATTATACTGGGTCGTTGTTGTTGTTGTTGTTGTTGGAGTGTGTAATATTAGCTAAAACATGGGAAAATGACAGTAGACCACTTCATGACCATTAGCCAAGGCCTTTTAATTATTTAATATTTTTAAATATAATTATTTCAATAAATTAAAGATTAGGCTCTATTATTCCACATTAAGCTTCACTTAAAGCTTATAAATCCTCTCTTAAGGGCCAATCATCCCCTTGAAAACATAAGGACCACAAGAAAAAGGGAAAAAAACATTTTGGGTCATTTGTATATTTTAATATGTCAAATTTTCTAATACTCTTTCTCAGTGGCGGATGCACCTACGCTAAGAGGCGGATCCAGAATTTAATGTTTATGAGTTTCTATAACGATCTCGAGTAAATTTTTAATAGTAACTGGATTCACATTCAAATATTTATAGATATTTAGCGACTTTTTGGAACACATTTACACTGTTCGGACAAAAACTACTGGTTTCACGTGAACTCGAAGGTCGCAAGCTGGATCTGTCCCTGTCTACAGTGCGGGTTTAATTGAACCTAATATTTTCACCAAAAAAATTTGAATATATATGTGTATCAAAATTACTAAAAATTTAATAAATATTAAAATAAAACCCAAAAATTCGAAAGTATAATGAGTTCAATATTAAAAAATTTAAAAATTAAACCCATTAAATTTAAATTTTGGATATATTTCTATTGTTTCTACAACTTTATATTTGTAATGATGGATACGTAAGTATACCACCAGACCACATGATTAGCATAGTACAACAAAATGTTATAATATATTATCTCTTTTTTAAGCATTAGTACTTTATTTTATTATAAATAGAGTACATTGAACAATATAGTATATGATAACGAATCAATCTACAGTTCACGCGTTTACATTATTTGTCATACTCTAAAAGTTTCATAATTTAATAATAAATAATTTCCTTTAATCAATTACAATTAAAATAAAAAATAATAATTCTACAAAGATCTTATTTGTTCTATATATCGATTGATATCTGATATTAATTTTTATGAACATATATAATATGCCATAAATGAATCTCCAATAAAAAGGACCATATAACTTAAAAAAATATTTGTAAGTAATTTAATATATGAAATGTTTCCCTCTTTTTGTTTTTTCTACGAAAAGGAAAGGGCTTAAATTTTAAATAAGACTTGGTATAATTCGCCAAACTATCTTTTTAAATATTGTAACATTTATTCTAGTTGCTGCTGCTACTACTACTAATCATATAATAAGTCAAATTAGTATATCTTAGAGCAATATAATTATTCAAATGATAGTTGAACAACATTATGATGCGTCAAACAATACATTTTTATTTAAAATTAATTCTTTTAAAACTGGAAGAAGGGAGACATACGAAATATTATAATCAGAAAAATGTGGTCAAACATTTTTAATACATCAATAAAAAAGTGAGACATAAATATATTACTTGCTCTGTCCTAATTTATATGTCATACTTTTCTCTTTAGTCTGTCTTATATTTTAAAAATAATTTAATCTAAATTTCTCATTTTACCCCTGATGAAATATTTTATTAACCACATAAATGTTTATACCTTATTTTATTTCACATGTTTTAAAAATATTTCTTTTAAATTCCGTGCCTAGTTAAATACGATCACAGGGACAGAGTTGGACACAGATAGATAACATTATTTTTTAGAATTGGCTTTTAGTATGCATTCAACGGACTATCTTCTTGAAAGCACTAGAGAAACACTAATGAGGATGAAGTAGACACC